TCAATAGGTCAAAGAAAATATTTTGTCACTTTTCTAATGAAAATGAAACGAGCCAAATTAATTTTAGTTTGATACCACTTTAATGAGACAGGTCCCACCCAGCAGGGCCGTAACTACCGATGAGGCAGACGAGGCACTGAATTTCTGGCAAAAAAATAATATTAAGGTAAAAAAAAAAAATGGAGAAAGTTAGGCATGCAGAGGGTAGAACACATCCTTGCATTTTAACATCAAGAATTAAGTAATGCATACTTCGAATACTAATTTATGTTGACGTGCAGCTTCTATACTTTTATTTCAACGTAAGGTATCAAACTCACTGTATCTGATTACCATCGCCATTGACCGACATTTGGTTCTGCAATTATTTATTTCCCGCGAAAATGAAATATTGGTAATGGATATTTCCCACATTATCAGTGAGCAAAGTAAATCAAAATTAAAATAATTCGAATTCTTCAACTTGCTAGGTCAATATTATTAAAGAAGCATTCACAGATCACACATAAAGACGGTCGCACAATTAACCATGGTAAAGATGACTAGAGAGTATTTAATTTGTATCATTATTGATTCGGGTGTTATGCATTAATTTTATCAAATTAGGAAAATAAATTAATTATTCAATTTCAAGAAAGTAGTCAGGCGATGGGATCTTCGTGGCACAAGAAAGGTCAAAATAGCATTCACATACAGTACCTAGGTTCCAGTCTTTGTGCTTTATTAAAGAGTTATTTCAAATATGTGTTATTTTTAATGAAGCGTTGACCACACACACTTGTCCCGCATATTCTACTATCAAACATATACCCTACTGTAAATTGTACATAAATGATGGTACAAAATTCGAGGCAAGTTTCTGTCAATCGGCTCTGATAGCCTATTGCAGTTCTTTATACGGTAAATATGAAACAAAAACGATAAATATGATAAAAAAAAACGGAGGTAACAAGACATATTTAGAACCATAATATTACAATTTTCGACCGGGGGCTTTGCCCCATTACCTGGGGGCCTCAGTCGACGGTCCCAAAACCCCTGCCTCGTCTGTTCCCGAGGCCTAGTTACGGCCCTGGAACCAAACTTACAAAAGGGAAAACTATATCTATCTTTTGATCCATATTTGTTTTTGAAGTATACATAATTGGGAGTTAATATCTAGGATATTCTTGGGTGACATTTTTAGTCAGTATGATATAGTATCAATCCACTAAAAGGGGAGGGTTGAGATCTCACAAAACATGTTTAACCCCGCCGCATTTTGACGCATGTCCAGGAGCCTCTTGCCTTTTGTTAGTCTTGTATGTGTTTTTTAACTTTAGTTCATTTAAATTTTTCGGAATTTAGTGTGACGTCAATTTTCAATGAACTAGTACACATATTTGTTAAGGGACCAGCTAAAGCCCGTCTACGGATGCGGGATTTCTTCGCATTGTTGAAAGACCCATGAGTGGCCTTGGGCTGTTTTCTGCTCTTTGATCGGGTTGTTGTCTCTTTGACACATTCCCCTTTTCCATTCTCAATTTTGCTGAAATTGCAATTCAAACATTGCTCCATTGCGACTTGGACTATTATACTAACAGTCCCAGATTGCGAGTTATGGTCAGTTATTGAACTGATTCGTAAATAAGATACGAAGTAGCAAACGTATGTCTTACGTTATTTTAAACCATCTCTGTTACTTCAAATGTGTTCTCTTTTTGCGCCAACAATAGCTAGGTTTTTTTCAATGTGCATATTATATTGAAAGTCGTTCGCTAAAATATACAGTTACCAAATAACATTCAATTTAGAAATCAGAAATGTGGTATAATTGCCTCCAGAAACAAAATGACGTAAAAGTGTAATGGATGTGAGTTGGGTAGTCCCCCATTAGAACGTCCGGATTTGTATTCACTTAATTAAATGTTTAATTTCTGTTTAATTTGATTTAAACATGCTTAATTGCATAACAGCTTTACTTATTAAACTTAAAAGGTATTCATATCGAATTCACTTTATATATTAATTATTCAATAGTTTTAAAAATCATCTTTGTAAGTGATCAGTTTTTTTTAAAACTTTCCAGGAGATGCTCCGGTAAGAAGAATGCACACTCACCACTTGTATAAACGAGTTGGTAGTGTAGCTATGCAACTCTTCTCTTATACACTCTAAATTCAGTTTAGTGGATAAAGGCAACAGTAGAATATCGCTGTTCAATAGTCATAAATCGAATAAGCGAAAACAAATCTGGGTCACAAACCAAAACCGAGAGAACACATAAGAAGAACCCAACGGAACAACATAGACTACACCTCGCAGGAATCCATGGATTCCGATTGTGTTCAATTATCGGCAACTACATAAACATTGGTATTATTTTAGTACGATTTACTAAATTTTAAAACCCAACGCGAAGTATATAAACATTATTACTTTTACTTTTAAGAACTCAACTTATGAGAAGCCAAGTTCGATGGTTCTCTCAGGGCACTTCGGCATCTTTAACCAATAAAAACTCACCGCCACGAAATAGCACTATAGTGTTGAAAGTGGCGTTAAACACCAATATATCAATCAATCAATTTAATTATGGATATAACGTTTGTTTTATGATTTCATTAAACTTGAAACACCTTTCTTTTTTTCGTTTGCGATCTATTACTATTTAAGTTCATTTCATTTATGAGCATACATTTTGAAATGCTATTCTTTTATATTTCATTTGACTATGTTTTACAGGAATGTTGTAACTTTGTAAATAAACTGTTGCACTATATGATTTATGTCTCTGTTCAGCCAAAATCTGATATCAGGTATACCGATGATCGAATAAGGACGAACTACTAGCAACTACATGTCCCGTGAGGTGTCGACACTAGACCCTTTTTTGTTTCAGATGTATGTAATTATCATCATACAGCCTTCAACAAGACCAAAACCATTTCAGTATAGTATGCTATAAGAGGACCAAACGAAAACCTTAATTTATGTACAAAAACAATAAGCGAAAAGCTAGATAGTAACCAGCAACAACCACTACATTACAGGGTCCTCACTTAGAATACACACACAGAGAATGTGGCAGGGTTAATTACGATATGAAGCGGTCACCCTCCTCTCTAGTCATAGAATGTAGTGTAACCACCCCACAGATAAACACATTGTCATATTGATTTAACTTATCAAATCAACACAAAGCATAAAATGACACAATTTGGATCTAAGAGTATTCACAGTTGCTGAAAACTGACGAACAAAAATCATATTAGAAAACAATCCAGTACACATTCAATGGACTAAGTATGAATATGCCATAAACAGACTTTTCCAAATTGTGACTTGGATGGAGAGTTGTCTCATTGGCACTCAGACAACATCTTCTTATAATATTTATATAAGAAAAACACATGACCTTCGACTATTCACTGCTTGTTCAATTCCATTTAATCAACTGATTTTTCTTTCTTCACAAATTGAAAACTTATTCTGAATTTTGAAAGTTCTATTGAATATGAAAATAAGAAGAAGTTGCACGATTGCCAATGAGACAAACACCCACCACAGTTCAAATGATGTGGATACAGTCAGACGCAACCTAAAAAATTAGAAAATCCCATGCCATATTATCGGCTAAAAAGGCCCCGACGTGAAAAATGTGAAACAATTTAAATTAGAAAACTATTGGCCTAATTTATAACAATAAAATTTACGAAGAAAAATATGACAAAACATGGGCCACAAACAACCACTTAACTACAGCCTACCGACCCGTACAGGCACACACAGAACATCACTATAATCCCAGGAATATTAATTATATATGACTGTTATACACGCGGTAGTGGTCTTGGTAGCTATAAAACCAGGTTTAATCCACCATTTTCTCCATAAGGAATAACCTGTTCCAAGTCAATAATATAACAGTTGTTTCTATTCGTTTGATGTGTTTCAGCTTTTTATTTTGCCATTTGATAAAGGACTTTCAGTTTTGAATTTTCCTTGGAGTTTGGTATTTTTGTTATTTTACTTTCCACTAGGGGTTTACCTCTCACTCTGAATTTGACATTTATTATATACGTAATGACTTGACTTCTCGACTACCACTCAATTGATATAAAACTATATATTCTGATTTGTAATATTATCATCGAACTGGGCTCCGCACTCGTGGCGAACAAGCTATTATCAGACCAACAAGGCGTACTATTCAATTTCGAGTAGACTTTAACAGAAATGTTAATATAAGTAATTTTGCAACGAACCTTCAAGATTTAAACATTTTTCGCAGAGTTTTTCTAAAGTTATTGTAATTCTTCGCTGAATGGTCGGCGCTAACAGCAAGCACTGGTGCACAGTTTGTGAGGTATAATTGCAAACGAAAAAAGGTGCGCAATCTTGCTGCATCTTCACCACAAAGTTACAGAAGACATTCACCTTTGGAAACGATAGACATAGGGTTGGGATCCCGCTAACATGTTTAACCCCGCCACATTCTGTATGTATGTGCCTGTCCCAAGTCAGGAGCCTGTAATTCAGTGGTTGTCGTTTGTTTATGTCTTACATATTTGTTATTCGTTGATTTTTTGTACATAAATTAGGCCGTTGGTTTTCTCGTTTGAATTGTTTTACATTGTCATTTCGGGGCCTTTTATAGCTGACTGTGCGATATTGGCTTTGCTCATTGTTGACGGCCGTACGGTGACCTATAGTTGTTAATTTCTGTGTCATTTGGTCTCTTGTGGAGAGTTGTCTCATTGGCAATCATACCACATCTTCTTTTTTATATATATGCATGCATTTGATGATTGCACTCTTTTTCAAACAAGCAAAATGAGAAAAAAATAAGTTGCGGTATTTATTTTAATGATTTTTTATAATGTGAATGCTTGGTATCGATGTCCTGCCTTTGAAGATCCTTTTGACACATTGTTGTATACATGTACATGTATGTTCATCCGAAGTCAAGATTCCAGCTGGTATGATCATATAATATGATATAAAAAATAAACTATGAATACAAAGTAGACTATTTTTTTCTTCAAAACATAGTTCATTGTAACAAGATGCTTAATTAGTTTTCACAGTACTCTAACATGGGTATACGTTAATTCTTATTCAACTGTGAATCTTTAGAAAAAGTCTAGAAAACAGCCAGGCATCTAATTTAATACATATCTGACCGTCTAACGACAATACAGTGTTTAATATAACACCACAACACATGTTTTATCAAATTTTGTAAAGGAACTGACCATGATGAAAGCCATTTACGATTTCATTTGATCTTGTTCGAATAGTTTGTTATCTTTTTTCAGTATTGTTGCACAAATCTGAAGACATCTAGACATTTTGTTTGAGAAAAAAATAGGTTTCATAACTATCATGTTTCCTGATTTCCCCAACGACAGCGACAATATTTTCATTACTAACACTGACATCTGTCGATATATACATATTTATCTTACCTCCTGTACATTTCTAGGAATATGATTGGTTAAAAGCAACCGCGTGGAGACCGTGTATATTCCATATTAGGTTAGTAGGGTTCCATATTAGGTTAGAAGGCGGGGCTTATTTCAATACACGGTTAGTAGTGGTGTTATGTCCCTTTATAAAGTTGAGGAAAAATCTTAAAGGTTTCAACAGACGATGAAATTGATGATGAACGATTGAAATAAATTCATAAAACATATTTAAAGCTAACAAGTTGTTATTGTTGGCATTTGTTTTTGTATAGCCCAATGGAAGTAGGTTCTTAATATTAACGGTATTGAAGGCTTGATCACTTTGATAGGCCACTAGTCTAAATACCACATGTTAAGATAGTCGGTAAGATAAATTCGTTACATAGTGTGCTAGTGACCTAATACGATATATATGGGATCAGTAAATTCCATATGGAGATTCGAGCTTCGCTCTCACCCCATATGGAATTTACTGACCCCATATATATCGTATTAGGTCACTAGCACACTATGTTACTAATAATATTATACATATACATTATTTATAATTATAATGTGTTCAATGAAATTGTTTGTGTGGTTTTAATCCTCGTCTGTCACGTCTTCGTCTTCACTAATACATGAACCATGTTCTATCAACAAATGCTCAATACGCTTAAAGTTACCCTTATTTGCCAATTTAAGTGGATGCCATTTATCCAAACTGTATCTGTTGACATCTACTTTATACTTTAGCAATGTCTGCACTATTTCGGTATGCCCATCGTGGCATGCATTCATTAGTGGTGTCCATCCGTCCTGGTCACTTTGATCTACATGTGCACCATTTTTTAAAAGAAATTCGACTATCGACTTATGGCCGTATTTGCAAGCATACTTTAATGAACTCCACCCATTATTTGAAGTTACATTTATATCTGATGTTTTGGTCAGAATTGATACTACTTCGACATTTCCACCAATACATGCAATCATATGGGCATTCAGTCCATCAGCTGTTGCGATATTGACATCTGCTCCATGCATGATTAGTATATCTACGATATGTCTAAAACCACGCCTGCAGACCGCCATTAATGGGGTCCATCCAAGAATGTCTGCTTTATTTATATCAACTCCATATTCTATAAGTGTTTTAACTATACTGATGTAATCTATTTTTGGACCATATTGCATTAATGAATCATCACAATGATTTTCTGGGAGTAGATTTAAACGCAAATCTCCAAATGTGTCCAGATGTACGCGAAAAACTGAACACATACTGTCGCAGGTGTATTTTAGAACTGTAACATCATCCTCATTGACTAAACAAAGATCAGCCCCTTTTTCAATTAGGACACGAACAGCTTCTAAATTTCCTCTCATGCATGCATAGAATAGTGAACTTTCAGAACGCTTATTTTTTTGCAAGACATCTGCTCCATTAATGATGAGGATTTTAACAATGTCAACGGAATGCCACCTGCACGCCAACATTAAAGGACTTTCACCATTTTTGTCACATTTATTAACATTAGCATTATGTTTAACTAACAACTGAATTACGTTAAGTTGATTTTCCGTTCGTTTTGTACGATCAATATTGACATTGATTACTGTCGAAAATAGATTATAGTTGCATGCAATTAGGAGTGGTGTTTCATGTTTATAATCCACTATGTCAATTTCCGCTCCATTATCTAGAAGACACTCGACTGTTTGAACATGAAAATCCATACATGCTAGACTAAGAGCAGTTCTGCCATCAATGTCTCTTTTATTAACATTAGCCCCTTTACTTATCAACAAATTTGCAATCTTTATTCGTCCTAATCTACTTGCTGTCATTAGTGCTGTTTGTCCTCTGACATCAGCCTTGTCTATATCCAATGAATACGCATGATTCAGCAGAAGTTCGATTATAATACAAGACATTTGATCAATAGACGATTCTTCATCAAGTTCGAATCTTAACGTGTCACTTAATGTCGAGTCATAACTTAAAAACATAGGGATCTTTGTAGAGAATAGATCAACAAAACTTATCATTTTGTTCAAAATATAGAAAGTTGTACCCCAGTTCACATTACAAACTACATGCAAAAGTGTCTCACCATTTCTTGAAGCAATTGATATATCTGCATTTGCACGAAGTAATACTTTGATATTTTCTAGACGTTTATTTTCACATGCAGTACTCAAAGGTGTCTGCAGTTTCATATTTACATCATTGACATTAGCCCCATAATCCAATAACATTTCAATTATCTTGTTGTTTGCATTTTTGCTTGCTGATATTAGAGATGTGCAACCATCGTTGTCCTTACTATTAACCATTGCCCCATATGACAGAAGCAACAGTACTGTTGAGGCATGACCATCAATGCATGCTACTTGCAAAGGTGATCTGCCCTTTTTGTCTTTTTGGTTAATGTCAGCTTCTCTTTCAATTAGATATTTAGCTATCTTAGTATGACCAGATTGGCAAACAACAATCAGCGGTGTAGACCCATCATTTGAAACAGCGTTTACAGACGATCCTTCTTCAAATAAGTCGTTCACGATTTTTTCATGACCATTTTTACACGCTTTCATTAAAGCATTCCAACCAATGGCATCACATGCTTCTATTTCAGCACCATTATCAATAAGAAGTTTTGCCAAGAAGTTATTACCTAATTTGCAAGTTATTCCCAATGGTGTTTCTCCTTTTTTACTACTTATATTAACGTTGACATTATTGTCTAAGAGGGCCTTCACTACATCAGTATGATTACCTAAGCAGGCAGTGCGCAAAGGGGTTTGTCCTTTATAGTTAGCCTTGTTGAGATCGGCTTTTGCTTTAATTAATATGCTTACAATTTTGCTATAACCACCATTGCTTGCTAGAAACAATGCAGAAGATTTATTTGCATTTTCTATATTGACATTAGCTCCATGTTCTACTAGCAGAGACACAACTGCTTCTTGTCCATATTTACAAGCTACCAACAGACAATTTTTACATTGCTTAATTGTTAAACTGTTTTCTTTCATTATATAACTTATTATCTTTTCAAATCCGTATTTGCAAGAGATAGTTAATAGATCTTTGCCATCCCTTTCATGTTCACATAAAAAGCTTTTTACAAAAGTATTGTTACTCATATCAATTCCTGCTCCTAAAAGGTAATTGACTGCTTCGTACTGCTTTGCCTCGCATGCGATACCTATAGGACTGTTTCCTTTGATTTCAAGGTTTATATCTGCTCCTTTACTTAAAAGTGTTTTAATGACCTGAATTGCCCCTTTTTGACACGCAATCATAAGCGGAGTGATTCCATCTTTGTCATATGCATCCACAATTGCTCCGTGGTCAACTAAAATATTTATGATGTTGATATGTTTTCCAAGGGATGCTATCATGACAGGAAATAGTCCATTGCTATTTTGTTTATTAACACTGGCTTTCTTACCACATAAGAAATCAACAACGGAAGAGTGTCCTCCCAGGCATGCTAACATTAAGAGAGACAAATCTTCACCGAAATTGCTGTCAATGTCGTACTCATATCCCAAAAATGATTCTAACACATGCTTGTATCCACCTTTGCATGCTGACGTAAGAAATTGTGGACTGTTTATCTTAGAATTTCTTATCTTTGAATCCTTTCTAAATACAGCACCATGTGCTAGAAGAAAGTCAAGGCATTCCCAGTTTTCAGATTCACATGCAATATCTAGAGGAGTGAGGTTATTTATACCTGTTCCGTTAATACTAGCACCAATTGATATTAGAAGATGTGCTAATGATGCCTTACCATTTTTTCTACACACTTTCATTAATGGTGTCCAGCCTTTTTTGTCGACAGCATTTAAATCCAACTTAACATGAGAAGATCTGATTATAAGCCTTACAACATCGATGTTGTTTCTGTCTATGGCTACTGACAACGGCATTTGCTCATTGTTATCCACTTGGTCTATATCAGCACCACTATCGATTAACAATTGCACGGTTGTCTTATGGCCACCAAAACATGCTCTGGTGATGGGACTCCATCCGTTTTTGTCTACGACACTTGGATTCCCTCCATTCTGCAAAAACAATTGCACTAATTGTTCTCGTCCAGTTTGACATGCCTTCGTAAGCATAGTATAACCTTCCTCATCACAACTGGTAAGAAACAAATGGAGAATGTCCTTCTCATTACTTAATGTAGCACCCATTGCAGTCAGAAAATCTATAAGGTCATAGTGATTATGCATGCATGCAATCATTAACGGTGTTAAACTATTTCTGTTCTCAGCATTAATGCCAAAACCGCTTTTTATCAAAAATTTGGTGATTGCAATATTTCCATTTTCACATGCCAAAAACAAAGAGGAGTTGTTTAGGAAACAACCTTTTCTAATGAGGTATGTTACAATTGCTGCATAGTTATTCTTCATTGCTAACATAAGTGGTGTCCAACCCTCATGGTTTGATTTTGACATATTTGATCCGCACTGTATAAGTAAACGAACAACCTCTAAATTGCCGCTTTTACATGCTTCAGAAAGTGGTGGATTTCCATTTTCATCCAATATATGGACATCTGCCTTTGCATTTATTAAAGTTCTAATTATTGATAATTCACCTTTTGAAGAGGCAACCTTTAAAGCCGAATCACCATGATTGTCACATTTATTAACAGATGCTCCATAGTTTATCAGCATTTCAAGTACTGATTTATGTCTATACTGACATGCTATTTTTAATGGGAACTGTCCATTTTTGTCCGATGTTTCGATATTAGCACCATGTGAAATAAGAATATTTACAACTTTTGTTTTTCCATTTTTGCAACCTAACATAAGTGGCGTTGTTCCATCAGAACTTGAATGATTGACATTTGCCCCTTTAAAAATGAGAGTATCTATAACTGAAATTCGATTAAGATAACACGCTGTCATCAATGGTGTCCATCCAGCATTATCAGAAAGGTTGAGTATGGCTCCATGTTCAATTAAAGAATTAATGATTTTCATATTTCCGAACAAAGATGCTACTTTCAACGGAGTCCACCCTTCCCTGTTTGTTTTGTTGATGTTTGCATTATTTTTTATCAGGAAATCAATAACAGATATATAACCACCTTTTACAGCAGAATTGATTGGAGTCCAACCGTCGACGCCTGATGTATTAATATTGCAGCCAGATTCTAGGAGTACTTTCACAACACTAAGATGTCCACATGAACTAGCTATTTTCAGAGGAGTCCATCCATTGAGGTCAACACTATTGACATCAGAACCTTCACAGATCAAAAATTGAACGATTTTCACATGCCCAAGGTTACTTGCAATCCCAAGAGGTGTTACCCCATTGATATCAGGAAGATCCAACTTTGCTCCCTTTTCAATAAGCAGCTTAACAAGACTGAGATTGTTATATTCACATGCTGTTGTTAGAGGAGTATTTCCAGTTCTACATACATAGTTCACGTTTGCTCCAAACTCAGTCAAAATTTTAAATACTTTTTCATATCCTCTTTGGCAACAATACATTAAAGGTGTCCATCCTTTTTTGTCTGTTTTACTAACAATACCATAGTTTGTTAAAAGCAATGATACACATTCGTCAAATCCTTCAAAGCATGCTTTGTGTAAAGGGGTGTAGCCTTCCTTGTCAGTGTTATTGATCATAGCACCATATGCAATAAGCTCTTTCAAACAATATGTTTGTCCGTAAGCAGCTGCTATAAAAACAGGACTTTGATTAGAAACATCAAACATGTTGATTAATGAACCTTTCTTCAATAGTTCACTGACAACTAAATTACTACCATATTGACAAGCATAATGCAAAGGAATTTTTTCCCCCACATCTGGAGTGTTAATTTGAGCATTCATTTCAATAAGCATTTTTATAATAGTTGAACATTTACTTTCACATGCCATACTTAATGCGTTTCTACCTTTATTGTTTGTTTTATGTATTTCACAGTTTGCATTCAAAAGTAACCGGACAATTTCACTGTTTCCATTTCTACATGCAAACATGAGGGGTGTGGAACCATCTTTACTCTTTGTGTCAATATTAGTTCCGTTTTTAAGTAGCAACTCTACTATTTTTTTGTTGCCCAATTGGGAACTTATATGCAGCGCTGTAAATCCACTATTTTCTCCACCGAATTGATCTTCTTCTCCACCGAGAAAAGTATTGGAGATCGAACTGAATATATCTGTAAACCTGGTCAATTCATCTGTAAATGCCAAGTTGACATCTGCACCAAACGCAATTAAATAGTCTACAATATCGACGCTTCCAACTGTACAAGCTGTAATAAGGGATGTACGACCAACGTAGTCTGTAGCATTCACAAAAGCACCAACTGAAACTAGGAACTTTGCAATTTCAGTTCTCTTATTACCGGAAGCGACCATTAAAGGAGTTGTACCCCTTGCATCAGGGATGTTCACGTTAGCGTTATTTTCTACTAACAGCTCGATCACGTTCAAATTGCCCTTTTCACAGGCATACATAAGAGGTGTCCTACCATTCCAAGCAGAACCGTTGTTTAGACCAGTTCCGTTTTTAATAAATGTACGAACAACAGATGAATCACCTCCAACACAAGCCTGCTGTAATGCAAATTGCACGTTTTCATTGTTCTTGTCATCGATGTAATTTATTATAAACCTGGCCAGATCATCATGGCCTAGATGTGATACCGCTGATAATAACGTATTTCTGTTGTGTTTTTCTCCTATGGTGAGTCTTTTTGATTTTTCTTGTACTTCTGCTAATGCTGCTATGTTCACATTTTGTATTATTGACAAGTATTGAATGAATTCTCTCCTACAGTATGCATCTTCCATCTGTCTGCTATAGAGCACATCATCTATAACTCCCTTCTCAATTTCATTAACAATGCGTTGGAAAAACATTGTTGCATTCTGTTTTGATATAAGAACAGTGAATTCATCAACCTCACTGTCCTTTGTTTTGGACAACTGTAGTTTTGTACGATTCATTAAGATATTCACATGTGAAAACTGAATGAAATGTCCTTGACTTTTTCTCCCAAAATAGGAGCAAATAAAATCAAACATTGCATCATGAATCGCGTAGTACTTAGTGTTTTCTTTCTTTAAGTAAACACCAACAAAAGAGTCTAAACTTTCAATAATAAATCTACTGTCAACACTGAACTCTGCAAAAACATTTCTTAAAGTGTTTGTCATGGCACTTCTTTCCTGTAGTTTATCTTCAGTTAACACATTTTCATTGATAGTACCATTGAGAACAACACATACAAACAAAGCACAATATTTCGTTCTGTCCTTTTCGTAAAAAAGCCTGTTTAGTTCTTTGCTGTAAATATCAAAGGGATTATCAAAGAACTTATTGGGGTTTGGAACAGGATTTTCATTATATAATTTGCATCGCAATGGGAAAAACGAATAATGTTCTATACCATCCCTTATTTGTTCTACTACTCTTGTTTCCAAATATTCATTGGCTATTGAAAGCTTTTCTTGGACTGTTAATGAATAACGATGTGATAAATCAAATGATGTTCCTGTTAGGTACTTTATCTTCTGAAATTTCTTTTCTTGAAAAATTTGTGTTCTACATGTTGTAATGAATTTTGCTTTTCCTTTTTTCATAAACAGACTGAAGCTGGTTTTGTTATCAATAAAATCACTTAGCATACTATGATTAATCGTGTATTTCCCACAAATATCATCCAAAACAAAAATCTGGTCTCTATCATTTTTATAAAAGAGCTTAATATCAGTTGTATTTGTACATGGAATTATACAAAAGTCATATTGATCTTTCAATCGTAGTACTACATGATGCATTGTAACAGTCTTCCCAACACCAGCCTCCCCTGTTATTGTAATACAGTGAACCGTTTTCAGTGCTTCAAGGATGTCATTTACCACTGCTGTACGTTGAAATCTTTTATCCTCTTCAGTCCATGCCTCAATTACAAGCTGATGAAAATCTGGAAAAAAATGACGTTTTTTTTCGTTTAATATGTTCATCCATCTCTAAGAGGAACTATGAAATTATGTTTTTGCTCTGCTCTAACGGAAACAGAGAAGTTCAAACAATTTAAAAACATTTCTTTAGCAACATTAATTAATGTTTAATGCCACATATTTCTATAAAATTGTGGCATGTATAATCATATCTAAGAAAGATTGTTATATAGCTTAACGCTATCATGGATGTTAGCAAGTCGTTAAGTAATATTTTAGTTTTACAGAAAATAATTGTGAATGGACATCGATATACATGCATGTATTTTACAGTCTTTCATATTCTGAGATATCTTATAAAATTTTTGAAAAAATCCTTTGTATTTAGTACCTATAATATGACTGACTGTCATATCATTATTTGTTTGAATATTGCAAAGAAATAAAAATAAAAATAAAAATGGTCTTTTATTTGTATTCATTAATTTTTGTTTTAAAAAGTGCGAGGTCTTGACATTAGGTATTTTAGTTTAGAAACCGAAAGTTCATATCCAACCATAAAAACTTAAATATTTTTTGGGGTTCATATTTATATATCCCGGCGAGGGAAGAACTTAAATTTGCTTCCGCAAATTTGCAGATTTATCATTGTTGTGCTGATATTTAGAGTAATTATATATATATAGATATAAGAAGATGTGGTATGAGTAGCAATGAGACAACACGCCATCCAAGTCACAATTTGTAAAAGTAAACCATTATACGACCTTAAATATATATATTACATTTGTATTTTTGTTTTAATTTTACTCTACATTTCATTCAAACAAACTGATCCATTCAAAAGGATGATATTGCGGATATAAGAGTCAAAAAGTAATAACTCCACAAAAGCTTGAATTAGATTCAAGTGAAACATGATTGCATATGACAGTTATTTTTTAATCGTTTGATATGTTTGAGCTTTTGATTTTGCCATTTTATAAAGGACTTTCCGTTTTGAATTTCCCTGCAAGGACGGTATCTAGTTATTTTACTTTTACTTGATTATAGGATCTATCTTTAATAGCATTGCTTCATTTCCTCATTACATTGTTCATTTGAGCCGTTTTCCTGAGTTATGTAGTAAAGGGCGTACCATCATATAAACTGATTAAACGATTAATTTTAAGTTCTATTTTAGTTATTAGAGTAAGTTACACGTAACTATAGTTTAAGCGTCATTGCTTTCGATTGAATGATAAAAGCACTTATAAATTTCATGCGTCTCAAGCGCTTTTTTCATTAACTTCATCAAAAATGTTCAAAACTAAACATTTGAAAATAAGGCATGCATAAATATGCTGCAACGTTCCCAAGAGGATCAAAACAGAAAAGCCAAAGTCATTGACGGTCAACTTTAAGTATCTGAAAGATTTTTTAATTCATTAACGTGGAATTAGGATAAATTTTATGTAATAAATCATGTCAATACCAAAGCACCGACTACTCAGCTGATGATACCTTCGGGGTTTAAAAGTCACCAAGCAGCAGTATCTGCACAGTACTAGTAAATAAGATAAACATATATTGCGTATGTAACACTTTCTGGATTAAATTTAATATATACCATATAACCATTGATCATAATGATGAATGTTTCATTTGGCTAGTAGTTTCTGTATCTTTGATATGGAAAACGTTTTACATCTTTGTTATCACATTAAAACTATGAAACGAGCTGCTATTCAGTTGTTTTGACTTATTCAAAGATATGACTTGCTAAATATTTTGCTGTATACTTAATGCCTACTAACATTGCAAATGTTTTCTTTGATTCTGTTTGTTGAATTTATTATATATTGTACCTTTCAAGGTGATAGCTTAACAATAAAAATGAAAAATCGCTATGAAAGATCAAATACTACAAAGGGTGTCATCAGTTTCTTGTCTAAAATAGGCAATAGCGTGAGTTGTTTTGTTTTCAAAATCCTGTTAAAAATACTTGCCCCTGTCAAATGTTTTATCATTGAACATTTTTATTCCTGTGTATTTGTCTCTTTTTAACGGTTTTCAAGATATCAAATGTTTCTCACATTTATAATTTACAATGCAATTTATCTTTAAAGTTGACCACTATGTTCGTTACATTACGCAGGTTGGATACCTTGCTAAACTGGATATATTAAGACTGAATGTGACCACGTTTCGATCTAACTTGCTCTTTAGATTCAGAGTATGATAATTCGATACGTTAATGGACGACGGCGGCCTACGACGAAAGCCGACATCGCCGAATCACGTGAATAGTTTTCACTAGTTTTTGAGCAAACTTAAGTTAAAATGAGTTACTCCGGAAGATATGTTTAATTCATTGGTTGCGTTAACATTAAAATAATCAGTTTCAAGCTGATCGTCAACTCGGTGTAACGACACATCAATTAATAAATCAAAATAAAAAAAATCGCACCAGAGCAGAGATGTAACAGTTATCTAATTTGAGTTCAATTAATTTCCCAAAAACATTACCGTATAGTTGAAATAAGAAAATGTAAAATCGCCTTAGAAGATCAATGACTTTAAACGGTGTCATCGGTTTCTATTGTCAAAAAGGCAGAAGTGTAAGTTGGTCCCTATTTTAAAAATATTCTAAATAATGTTTGCTCCTGTTTTTTGAAAATGTTGATCCAATCAATTGGTCGCTATATAACGGTTTTCAAGATATAAAATTTTACTTACATTAATGATTTACAACTACATTTTATTTTTAGCGTTGGTAACCATGTGCGTTACATTTAGCAGTTTGCAACATAGTCGACATCATTTAGAATGATTGTCGTCAAGTTTCGTTCTTGTCAACCTCTTGGAATGTTGGGTCCTCAATGTTCTTCAATTTGGTATTTTTTTACCCTTTTTTATTACGCGTCTGGCGTAAACAATTTTAATCCTGGTATCAAGGATAATTTTAGTGACCAGAAAATTAAGATGATGATATTTAGATAAGTTAACGAACGACGACGACCTACGACGACAGATGTAATATTGTTGCGCTAAATTTAAGACGATATTTAATATATATCGACACGGGTTTGATATAGTAATAGATTTATGTAATCAGTCATTTCGTAAAGAGAGGCGATGGATACTAAAGGGACATTCAAACTCATACTTCGAAAAAAAAAGAAGAAAAGTTCAATAGACAAGCAACAGTACACAAACACAACATAGACAAACTAAAGACTGAGCAACACGAACCCCACCAAAACTGGGGGTTGATCTGATGTGCTTCGGATGGGTAAGCAGATCCTATATCACGTGTGACACCAATCGCCTTTGTCATTAAAGTTAACATCCTATAATAAGTCTAATTTCGTCGGTCGCATTCGTGGAAAAGTTGACTGGATTGTAGTTACGACAATTGGAACATATCCGTCGTCATCCGTGAAACAAATATCTATAACGGTCAACCAACTCATACCAAATATAGAGACATGATCAAAGTTAACGTGTCATGGCGTCTGCTTTGAATAGTAAGTAGGTAAATCGCAAGCTGTGATCCCGTTCAAGGTTTATACGGTGTTAACCTTTAACAATCTAGAATAAGCACGAGTAAGGCATATGATGTGATACGTTATACACTTCCTGGAACAACATGTACATTGCTATTAAGCGGAATGAGATCAAAATTTAAGGTTTTTCATACGCGTGTGTGAATTTCGAAAATCAAATCGGGGTTTAATAAATATTAATTGTGTGAAAAACTGCAGATGAATTGTATCAATATAGTATGTGTAAAACATTATATCATTTTTCAAGATGTGACTTAATTAACCAACAACGCAAATAGCTTTGTAAAATACAGCTCAATCGCCCGTTTTATTCTACTAGATTTCATTTGATCGTTGAAAAAATAAAATAATTCCCATTTCATCTCAGATATATATAATGTACTAACCAAGAGATGCATTGCTTTCTTCTCGAGTTTTCTCTACATCATGCATTGTGACATCCAAGACTTGGTCTTTCTTGTGTTTTAACTCACGTTTAACATTGAGTCTTGTTGTTGCCTTAAAATGATAACCATAAAATTTAGTTTAATTGATTTTATCTATAATACCTATGGTATCGTGAAAAAAAAATCACAAATGCAAGTCCTATGATTACTAATAAACTTTGCATTATAAAATGAAATGTAGGGTTTATGTCAACGTTAAAAAAAGTTAAACAATAAAAAAAAAAGTCAACACTTTTCGGTCTAGCCAAAAATGCGCCAGCAAGCGTAATAAATCGTAAACCTAGTTAAATTTCACCAACCACCGGGTCGATTCCTGTTATTAGCATATATTAAAAAAATATATACGAATAAATTAATTTAAAAGCAATAGTAATAAAGAATGCTCACACATGATGATTGTTTTAGTCAATTTGCATTTGAAATATTAATATTTTTTTCAACTAAATAGTAGCGATATAAATGACGACTACATACATCTTTCAGTGTTCTCCAGCATTTTCCAAATTCCTCCCTGGATATTCTACCAATATGGATATTCTGTAACGTCCTTCGGTAAAACTCTACTCTTAATAAATCTGATGTTAAATCAATGTTGTTGTCTTTTGGAAGTACTAAGTCCGTCTTTATAGCAGGAATGTATCCTTCGAGTCCCAGCATAACAGCCATAAGTACTTCCATGTCATCTGTTATATTGTTAAAACTGCCTAAAAAAAGTGATGTTAAACATAATAAATGTAACTTATTTAGTATAGCTAATGTAGTACAAAACTAGTCTGGCCCATGAAATTCATTGTAAACGAAATTAAATTAAATTAAAGCCTAATATATATTGAACAGAAAAGAAAACATATATAGTTTACAAATCACTTTAGATCATAATAACTAACAACATGACAATTACGAATTATTGACGTGAGCTAAACAATAATGTTAAGGTCTTTTTGTCTTGTCATATTGTCAGCTTTTTTACTATGATACCAGTTTACTTATTCATATGATCCTTCGTGAAGGCAGAATCAAATAAAAATCAAAGTTACTAGATTGTACTAGGGGCTTGAATTATCGAGTACTTAATCCGTATGAAGTGTAACATGTGTAATGCTATAATCTAATAATTTCTGCTATCATTATCGTATTAAAGGGGCATTACCTACGAGATATGAAAAAAAATAGAATAGGATGTAATATGGTCAATTATTAGTAAAAGTGAAATAATGAAATAATAATTCGCTTTTAGCAGCCAATTTGGTTCAATTTTGTCAAAATATGCAAAGAAACATCGCTGATGAATTATTCACTTGCAATCCGTATTCATGTGACCTTTAATTTAACCCATTAGCTAGAGATTGGTAACGCATGCATTAGTCTTGTTCAGCCATTAAAAGAAAAAGAATGCCAACATTGAAAGTGAAACAATGGTGAACCATTTTGTTGACTCATTCGATCCACAAAAAATCGTTTCTATACACTCATTTATAAACGATAATTAACTTTTTTTCTGAACCTATAATTCAAACAGGCACAGAACAATCCAATTCCACGAGGTCGCTAAATATTTATATTTATGTTTATGTTTATATCGGGTAATGTGACCGTCGGCACTCTTCGTTGGTGTTCCCGATAGTTAAGTGAATGTCGTCTAGACTGAAATACACACGAAATTCTGATATGTATCATCGAGTACATGCATTCTTAACTGTTTATTTCAGACTTATTGCAATTTGGATATACGTTCTAGTATGAAATAAATCAAATATGAGAGTATGAGTCAAATCGATGAATATGATTTTGACAGCTAATCCCCTTTAACTATGCTAAACTTTTTTGTAACATGCGATATCAAATAAATAGCTTGTGTTCAATAGATAAAGGCATTAATATTATACCGCTGTTCATAAATCGATTAAGCGAAATATAAATCCGTGTCACAAAACAGAACCGATGGAAACACAACAACTATAAGATGAAAACAACGAAACAACAGAAACACTGAACTTCAACAAAAACAAACGCCAAAATAAATAGGAAATGACTAATTGATAACAACTGCCATATTCCTGACTTGGTAGAGGATATTGTAAGAACAAAATCCACTTATGTGGCAATGTTTAAAATATTGCTAAATGACAACACTACGTGGCAGGAATATAGTACAAATAAACGCAAGAACAACGATATTTGTCTAGGGGAGAGAACTTTATCCAGTATTTTGAATTACCGGGCCAAAATCATCATTTGTTGCATATGTCAAGATAGTTTAAATGAACATACCTATCAACTTGCCAGATTTAAACGAAGAAAGTTCATGTTGAGATACAAACGTTTCTACTTCAGATTGTGTATATTCGATCTCAAACAGTTGTTTCACAGCGGAAAATGCAGTTTCATGTACAAATTTCCAAAGTTGCTGAAAGAATGCTTCTTCATTTTCCCGAAAAATGTCTGAAAAAATAAGTACGTTGATAAATTATATTTTTTTAAGGTATAAGAAGTTATAAACACCACTTTGCTTTTAAAACCAAGTACTGAGATAAAGCTCAAATTATTTCTTATAGCAAATGTTGCAAGTAAATTGGACAGTTCAAAGGATATCTAAAAACATTTGATAATATGTAGATTGCGGGAACACCAATATGTGTCCATTGAATGTGTAATAAATTTTTATAGTTCATTGTCCTATTACCGAAGCTTAAGGTAGCACAATACAAAGAGTTTTTTACTTCCAAACCCCAACCTTTAAAATGCTGTTACTTTCTTAAAAATGCATATAAATTAATAAAATAGGTATATATAGATAGATAAAAGATTAATCTTTTAAATGAATGCAATATTTTTGTTATGCAATCATTATGTAATCAATTATCATGCAATTAATGGCAAAATCTTAGTCAGTTCACTTGAATGAATTTAGCTCTTTCATCTCTATAACGATACAGGAAATTTAAACGAAATCTTAATCAACACAGCAGGAGCTACAAAAGGGTGTCTCAAATTATCGCTATGGTATTCCATTCTCTCATAAATCTGTAATTAGTGTAAACATCCTTACCACATAAAAGTAGATAATGTTTGATTAGGTGTAAAATTTGATCTATACATTCTATCCGAAATCTGAGACACCCTTTTGTAGATAATGGCTCTAGGAACAACATATAATAAAATCAACCCTCTAGGGGTAACCATGAAGAAGCTAATTTCAATTGAAAGTTGAAATTTCTTGTAAAATTTGTAGACACAGTTAACATTATAATTGATTACATAATGGTTGTATAATACTAACATTGCATTAATTTGAAAGAGTAATTTGTTAGCTATCCATAAATACCACTTTTATAAATTTTCAAGCATTATAAAGAAAGTTACAGCATTTTAAAACTAGGGAATTGGAGGTATAAAATATTTGTATTGTGCTACTTTAAGCTTATCAACCAACACTAAATTCTCAAATGAAATAATAAATTAATAAAAAAAAAATAATAAGATATGAGACATGCCAACCGTAGATTTTGGTTCTGACTTGCGACACGTGACAGGAATAAACCGCTTTTGTTAGATCTGAGATTTCAACCGGATGCTTACTGTCAACACGAACAGTGCATTTATTTAGTAAAATTTTACTAAAATATAGTCAAATGAACCCAATACATAAAAAGAACTCTACAAAAAATGAATTACTATATAAACAGGCACATTGAAACACCAGAATATAAACCGTAAGAAAGACGTCTCACTGTGACTGAAAACACACTTAAAGTACTTAATACAAAACTAGAGATGTGTATGAAGGCCGTACCTTGACTTATAATGGTTCACTTTTATAAATTGTAACTTGGATGGAGAGTTGTCTCATTGGCACTCATACCACATCTTCCTATATCTATGTGGTATGATTTCAAGTTTTACAACTATTCACATGAGGTAAAAGGACTTTGATTTAAACATTAATAGGTTACAATTTTGCCTTAAGCAACAGGAAAACCTATATCGTATTAAAAAAAAAAACCTTTTCAAACGAGAGAAAACCAACTGCCTTTTAAGCTTATAAACAAGAAACGAATCACTGATTAACAGGTTCACGACTAGGAACAGGTACATACACTATGTAGCAACGTTTAAGATTATTCGAAGCGCTAATTTCTATCCCCAACCAGCGTGAGAGATGTAACCTACTAAATGAATTCATATCGTTCAACACTCGTCAACGGTATGTTAATCTGAGATTTACTTTTTATCGCTATTTTGTGCATTTTTCCTTTGATCTTTTCTGTGATAATTTTTCATTCTACTTGCAAATTCTGGTACCTAAGGGCGTATGTGCTGTTGTCAATGTAAAAATCTGCGATGTCATAGGCAAAATAGCGATTAACAGATTATATTGGCCTTTCAAACTCGACGATGTTTCACCCCACATGTCACCTCAAAGCTACCACCCTTTGATTAAATTGTATCTTAAAAACAACCTTTTGTTTAAAAAAACGTCGAAAATCTATAGAAATATTTTTTTTTCATATACAGATATGACGGATTTTCCAAGAGTCAATCATATTAACTGAGGTTTTGATGTTGAAAGACGTTTAATGAAAAGAGTCGAAAGTCAATGTTTCTTTATTCATTCATTTAAAACAAATTTTGTTTTCCCATTTGACTGTTATTTGATTTTTATATATAATATTTAAAGAAAAACATACCTTTAGTAACAGTATACATTTTTTCACTCGGTAAGCTTTTCATTCCACTTTGAGCACAAGTAAAAATCTTAAATGCATACTTGGTAGATGGCTCATTATTTAAAATACAGTATTTATATTGATCTGCAGGAATTGAAATTTCTTCGTATGTGTTCCAATTGTCTGTTGATGTTTGCAGCAAATAATGAGTTGTCTTAAAAAATGTTTTCTGCGGTTCTGACCAAAAGATACTAATGGTTGTATCGAGTGTTTCTACATGAACAATATGTGGTGGAACTGGATCTATTACAATCGAAAGAAAATATTTCTACTTTAAATTAAAATAATAACAATACAAGTATATATAGAGGTACACACAGCTGTACTTGCAAAATGATAACCCAGCAAAATCTTGATTTTTAAAGGAAAACACTATTTAAATTGAATACATGTAGTAAAATTAAATTGAACAAAATGGATATTGTTGTTCAGTGGTTGTCGTTTGTTGATGTACTTCATTAGTGTTTCTCGGTTCTCGACTTTTTTATACAGTTTAGTATTCAGCGGGAGAATAAGAAAAAAGACACATCAGAAATAACAACTTATCCATACTAATATCAATGAAAACTTCAATTATCTAGATATCGTGATCTGACAGATGTTTTCCAAAACCGTAAATGGGGTTCACACAATTTCATCAAGGTTTCTAATTACTTGTTTATGTTTATTGCTAAGAAACACTTATTCGACAGAAGAACATAATTTTTGTTTTAATTTGAAATGACATTAATATTGTTTTCATAAATTTGATATTAAGATTTTTCTACTTAGGTAATCTAATGCACTGGTCATATTTTAGTACACCCTAGCAAATTTGCACCGTAAGGCTTCTTCGAGTAACAAAATAAGCCACTGTTAGTTAGTTAAAATATAAAGCAGGCGAAAAAAATATCAAACATTCATTTAATGGTCATAATTGAAACCACTAACATAAAAAAGAAATCATTGAAGTTTCAGTTTTGCACGATCATGATATATGTTAACATATCCTTTTCATAGACACCACTGTCCTAGATTAGATTTGTCGCCTACAAACTAGTTTAACCCCACCCCATTCTGTATTTGCCTGTCCCATGTAGGGAGCTCGAGCCTGTAAATCAGTGGTTGTCGTTTATTGCTGTGTAACATATTTGTTTTCCATTCATTATTTTGTACATAATTAAGGCCGTTAGTTTTCTGGATTGATTTTTTTACATTTGTCATTTCGGGGCCTTTTATAGCTGACTATACGGTATGGGCTTTTTATTTTTACCGCACTGCTTTTGATGTATTATGTACATGTGTTTTATCAATCTCACGGACGTGTATGAAATATCCCAAGTAAGGTACGGGAACTTCATAAGATTTCATATTGATATCCATATAAAATAAATGAAATGGTGAAACTTTGAGAGAAAAAGCAAATATGAAATCCTGTAGAAAGAAGTTCAAATTTAAGAAAACATCTAAATTTTCGCCAATTTGTATTGAAACAATTTCTTTTGAAAATCTGTGAAATTGTTATTCCTCAAATCCTTTCTCGTTTGACATAATTGAAATTTGTCTATTCTTTTGATTACTTTAGCGTGTAATTCATTTTTACAATGCATTTCATTCCATCAATTGCATTATTGTTTTGTATTTTGTTTTTTCTTAGACTTTAAATTAAGACATGACCTTGATAAAAATTCTGCTCTTTGGTCGGGTTGTTGTCTCATTAACACATTCCCCATTTCCATTCTCAATTTTATAAATTCTTTAGTAAGGTAGGCACCTCAATTAAAAAAGATTCAATTTACTGAAAACTTGAAAATGCAAATGTCGTTGATACATTTTTTTTTAAAAATAGGATGATAAGTATGCGCTAGGAGTTTTATTTCACACTACGAGCTGTGCCAAATTGTCACATTTTGTATATAAATTATACACCAAAAATCGTGCGAATTAAAAAGAATTTAACATTTGATGAAAATATGGTAAGATACGTTTTAAAGTGCGCTTTTGGAAATACAAAAATAAAAATATCGTTATTTTTATTTTGATGCAGAATACATGTAACATATTTAAAGCACATTCCTTTATGTTAAGTCATATCCCCTCAAATGATCACGTTCAAAAGATTGAATGAAATATTCTGTATACGTATAAACACATGCAATATTACGATAAATCCAGTTTTTGCCTCATCAAAACCGAATATCGAATATTGCACTCTGTTCGTGCGATTTGATATTTTTAAGACAACCCATAAGGGTTCTTATTAGTTGAATTAATTGCATTCATTCAAATCTTTCCATTTATATTTTTGTTTGTATTTTAATATGAACAATTACAAAAGATTTAAGTAAACTTTAAAATATTTATTGCATAATGTTGTACTTATATTAGACTATGTACACAAAAAAGTAAAACACACAGTGCATAACCTCAAGGAAAGTCCTTCATGTCTTCAACATAGTTGAATGTTTCTCTTGCTCAGTGCAAAGCACAACATGAACCTTATAATTATACTGACTGTTAATCATAAACCACAATCACTGTTACAACAATATCAAAATAGTGATCTGAACTTAACGTGAAAACATTCCTGAATTATTTGATGACTTCATGCAACATTTTGATTTCATTGTTTTAGACAACACTTCCGCTAAGGTCCGCCTACTCACATGAACCTACATTTGACTTTCAACAACATAACACTGTTAATTCAAGAACTATTGCGAGGTTTTTATTTATGCGAATAATACGACTAGGTTAGAATCGCAAAAAGAAGAAATTGCATTCTGAATATTGTGTGACTACTCATTAATTGGATATATTTTAATGAACAGCTGTAATGACTGGTCGGCGATTGGACACTTCTACCAACATTATTTATTTTAATTCTATATCACTATAAAAATTAGCAATTAAAGAAGTTTGTTTCAAATGGAACTAATGACAACGAGTATATTCTGAAATAGTTTCAACTTTATGAATCAACCTTATTATAAATATTCCTCATCTTTCCAAAGAGAAAAATTTCTTCATATTATGCATTTGATAAACAAAAGTAAGAATTGCAATTTATCAATCTATTTGAGAAAATGTTATCATCAAAGTGCCAGTAGTATTCCGACATTGACACTTTTCAACACGTCTTTGCATATTACACGCGTTAACAAAATATATAATAAAGTAGAGTGAAATAATTTCTTGTAATTAGCTATGCATAAATAACTTACTATCTAACGCTTTGAAACAAAACCCTTCCATTGAAACCTTAAAGTACCCGAATGTGCCCGTCTGTATTGCTTTTTCAAGAGAATTTCGTAATTTTACTTCATCATACCATCCCTGTGAAATCAGAATGAAAACCGCAAACAAAGATCCACGGCTGAAAAACAGAACATGAAAGGTGGAAAAAAAAAATAGAATTAAAACCTGAAAAAAAAACTCAACTTAAATGTTGAACTATCAATCAAATTACTATTTGTATCCGAATTAGATTAAACTTTTTGAGTTGTAAGTTGAATAATGTACATTGTTTATATTTTCTTTTCTAGGGGGTTTTCTTTCTTTAACATTGATTTATTATTTTGACCTCGCTGTTAGGGCCACACTCTTTAAAGAAATAAACTTAATAGACATTGACTACTTCTTTACAGAAATTAATATGTTTGATACAGACACACTACTTAACCTTATATATTCCTACCAAGAATAATGTCTATTTTTGACTCATAAGTTCTGTTGAAATATATGCTTCAGACTTGAGCAATGGGCAGGTTTGAATCTGACCAGCCCTGTGAATAGGTTTAGGCTGCATGTGTTACCTTCCAAACAAGACCGGTCGACCGGTTTGCATTTCACATGTTTAAATCAGATAACAATATCAATATGTATCCAATACTTTTTCTTTTAAAAGCACTTTATATTCCTCAATATTAACGGTATATTGATATCAATTGCAGAAACATTTTATGATATGGCATTAGCTAATACAAAGCACTTGAAACGGTTTTTTAACGATCTATAAAGCCCTAACACGGTCGGAAGCCTACATAACCATAGATGAACTTTTATAGAACGGGTCTGATTCAATTGGATCAGTTTGATCTTGATCGTATATGCAAGACTGGTTTAGAAGTAAACTTTATCCTAAGTAAACTGCAATAACGGATTAGTCAAATATTAACTTCTTTAGTGACCATAATAACTTTTCTTATATGAAGATTGCGTTTTAAGTTAATTTAACAAAATGTTTTACAACTGTCTCATATAATGGACTGATATGTCTCCAAGAAATTTATAATAGTGAGGTAATTTTTTCACCATTTTACAGTAAACACAAACCTTAACTCTAATTCTGTCACAATTAGTTTTCCTGGAAAATCAGGGAAGACAGTATTCACTGCAGTTTCGATTCCTTCGTTGAAATACATGTACTGAGGACTTGTTTTATCGTGCAAAACAGCTTCATGATCAAATCCAGTGAGTTGTACTTTTACACGACAGCTTGCTGAAATAGTTGTAAAAAGTAAAAAAAACAAAAAGACCAAACAGTAACAACACATACCACTTGTATTTTCGAGTATAACTTTTGAGTTTACATAAAATATTTGGTTCTAATGTTTTAATTTAAGCAAATGTAACATCCCTACTTGAATAAAGATACAGCAATCTTCCAAGTAAGAAAAGGTTTGAGCGCTACATAATTTACCACGTGCCTATCAAAATTAGGAGCTGCAATTCAATGGATGGTGTTGGCTGCATCTTAAGATTTCATTTTATTGTTTTTTTTTGTTTCTATTGATGGACAAAATATTAATTCTATCAGTACAATCAATCAGCTTGCATCTGTAGGTATATTATGCCAATTATAAAAGAAAAGCAAAACATAGATTTGATTTTTGGTAATATATTTCATGTATTTACAGCCTCTTTTAAAATTTAAAGAACACTTACGGCTTGCGATTTTTGCTATCTCTCTTGGTATACTTTTCACTGAATGACTTACAGTGAAAAGTTTGAAACGATATGTTGCATGCATTGTAAAATCTTTTATGACATATTCTAATGCACTGGCTTGTATAGAATATTCGCTCATAGTTTTCCATTCATCAATTGAGACTTCTAAATGATATTTCTTAGTTTTAAATAAGGTCTCCTCAGGGGATGTCCACACTAGTCTTATGTTTCCACTTTCAAACACAATTTCAAGTGAAGGAGGTTGTTTAGGTACTTGTAAAAGAAACATGAATATTATGTAAAGGTATTGATATGTTGTGTCAAAACATTACCTCTTTTTTATTTGCTTTTATGTCGAACATATTTTTAACGGCACAATATTCAATTTTTTGTTTATTTTCAAACATTGCGAATATGACGATTTAACTTTAAACACAAAACATTTACTACCTATGTACCTTTCATATCAATATCAGGTATATATGTCATATATTGTCGATTTTGAAATGTAAAGCTGATAGAAAATTTCCGTAGAATGTATACATGCGTATCATAGGATCAAACTTGAGTATAACATATTTATAATAATGATTCATAAACTGTCAACTTATTTTTCTGATCAATATCAAATTAACGATTGTTTTATTTAATATGTTTCCGGAATCACTTAATCGCTTTTAAAATGATAAAATGACATGACTCGTCTAACAGGCAATAAAAAATCCGTACACGTACATGGATAAATCAATCAATCAATTAATTTGTTAATCGCGTATATTAAAATCTTGCACAGTTATGAATTGTTTTGCAAATTGAAGATGATTTAGTTTAAAAAATGTCAGATGCCATGATTCAAGCTTGTCATCGTAGTAAAAGCAGAATCTGATAAACCAAAAAGAGCTATCAATAGTATAAACAAGACACACCCTAAGGATATAACCATACAACTTCCCCAAACTTACATCCAGAATAATACAATGTCTCAGCGCTTGGCTTGCCTTCATATGAATCTTGTAGACAACTTGCTATCCTAAATTTGTAGATCTTCTCCGGAAGTATATTTGGTATATTACAAGATGATTTAGTTGCATTAACAATTATGTCATCTTTGTAATTCCAATCATTCCATGTATACGATATTTTGTAGGAATTTGCTATAAATATGTTCACAGGAGGCGAAGTCCATATCAATTTTAATGTTCTATTAGCCACAACCACTTGAAGTTCATTTGGTGGATTTGGTGCTATTAAAAGATATGATACATGATACAATTGGCACAACCAAGGGATTTCATGTATGTAAATTATACATAAATGACAATGCAATAAGAAATCATTATATAAAATTTATCACATCACTTTATTCCTGTTGATTTATTTTGTTTTAAATCTGAAGAAAAGGCACTAAAGTTATTAAAAGTTATCAACATTTCTTTGTGTCTTTATGAACGCAGTAGTGAGATCCCTAAATTATGGTGCTATGCCATCCCCTCCCCTCCCCCCCCCCCCCCCCCAAAAAAAAAAAACCAAAAAAAACAAAACAAAAAACAAAAACAAAAACAAAACAAAACAAAACAAAATATCAAACATTAATATTGTTTCAAACAACGTCTTTCGGGTATTCATGATAAACTTATCTGTTAGACTTCAGCACTTTTTTTAATTGTATGATATATTTGCTTTAGGGGTTCAAACGTCTTGCCATGCATACAAACTATAAACACTTACCAAAAGTGCTTAATTTGGAGACATTAACTTAACTATAATATCAATACAGAATAAAAGGGATTTCCGAAAAGAGTCTTTGCTACAAGATGTCTAAGGCAACAATATAAGTGTTATTTTTTTATTTTTATAGAAAATAACTGTGCTCATACTTAATTTTATTTTGATCATTCTGTAAACTACCAATTTCAGGTCAAATATGTCAATTAATTTCAACTTGTTCATAATGTCATAGTGGCATCATCTTGATCATAATCATCAAAATGCTAATTTCTTTTATAAATTTTTATGGCTTAAACAAAATATCATCATTTGGCCGGAGACCATAATTAACCCCACTTTTCATTTTCCACAAATATACTTCTTTGTTATTATGTTATAGTGTCTTTTTTTTTATTTTTGTTCTCTGCCTTTCCTGATTGATTTCTAAGTTTTTATAGGCTGAGATAAAAGAAGAGAGTTGAAATAAATGTTTGGAGGCATTGTTTTATTTATTCAGTAGTCGAAATTTAGTGATTAGGCCAGTTGCAAAAGGTAACAATTATAGTTTTCGGAACATCTATTGACTTGTCCATTACAGTATGGATGTGTTTTGGCTAAATTAATGACCTACTCTTACAATTTGTACATTACACAACCTCAAACTTTTGCAAATTTGCAGGTTAGGGTTTTTTAACGTGAAAAAATGAATTAAAAGAAATATTAATAATCAATAAAAAATAGGTATCTGTAATCAAAACCCATTGCAGGCAGAAACAGGTCCCTCTTCAATCTTCAAAATTATCTTACAGATTCTGAGGAAAGCTTCACTTTACAATATATCTACGAAAAAGGACATTACTACACGCATTAAACATAAACCAATGCATCATAAATATGAATTAATGTTCAGACGAGCCCTGCCAGACGGATATTAACAGCTTACAATCAATCCATTCACCAATACATAATTGACTACATGTAATAGCTGAACGTTACAAAGAAAGTATCCCTTTCTCATCGCCTTCCAATCCTCACGCTGCAATGACACTTTCGGAAACAGGAAACAGTTTAGAAAGTTATAGATCAGACGACTATTTTAGTTTACAATTAGCTAAGACAGCGAAACACATAAACCGGTGAAATAAGACACAGACAGATCGTATCAGTCAACCAATTCGTGATGGTTGACAAAACAGTTTATAAGATATAGAAATGCGGTATGAGTCCCAAATGAAACAGATATCCAACAGGGAGAAGCAGTGACAGGGTACAGTATGGCCTTCACCAATAAGAAAATCACATAGCGTGCAATCAGCTATAAAAGGCTACGACATGAACAATGTGGAAAATAATATATATATAAAACTAACATCCTGATATATGACAAACAAACGAAAAAACAAATATGACAAAAACCAACCAACCACTGATTAACAAGCTTCTGAACACGGAATTGCATATATATTATAAAACAGTTAATCATTTTTGTAAGGGCCGCGCTAAATATTCTTAACAGCACATAATAAATACAATACCATAAAATTCCGTTTAGAATCACTTTACTTATCATATCGGCAAGATCAGAAATAAACAAGACTAATATAAAGACACGAGACACACAGTATAGATCTAAGAGTACCTTTTAATGCTGACTATGCGGGATGGGCTTTGTTCATTGTTTAAGGCCGTACAACTACCTATGTTTGTTAATTTCTGGGTGAATTGGTCTCTTGTTGAGTGTTTTCTCATATGCAAGCAAACCGCATCTTCTTGTTTTTATATTTGCAGTTACTTTAATTCATATAAAAAGTTTTTTGAAATATTAATTTCATCTAGATTTTTGATCCATTGCAGGATACATACTAAACTAAGTCTTGAAAGCACATTTTATATATTCAATACACATCTTTAACGTATTATAGACAAATTCATTAAGTGGTTTTTGATTGCAAGCTAATTAATTTTCTACTATGTTGCCGAAGTTTACATGATCGTGACATTGATAAAAAAATAAAAACAGAACACGTGGAGAGAGTGACAGATTTGAATTTAAAGATCCCTGACATTTGTTTTTATATTTTCCATGCATTCCCATTTGTTAATTTAACTATTTCTTAACAGTTGTTACATGATTTGATGTATAAAATTTGTTATTTAAGAATCAATTATTTCTATTTACCTTCAATAGCATATGTGTTTACATTCTTTAATCACGGGTTTCACCTCGCAATTGCCCTATGCGGTGGCCGAAGTTATAACGAGAGGTCTTGTAGTTGAGGTCACTTCATACGGGAAAATATCGCCGAATTAGTGTCTGGGAAGTCAACAATTCAATATAGGTACATTTATGACGATTTTGATAAAATAAAGAATTTTCTTTTTAACAAATTCAAATTTATAAATTTGGAGTTTTATATGACTTTACAGCGAGTATTTAGCCAATAGTAATCAAGTATGTTCTCCCAGTTAGAAAATATACATATCGCAAGAAGGATCCAAAAGACCACCAACGTCCATAAAAGGAAAAAAAAGAAAAACAATGAACGATGCACTTTCTCCTTTATCGTCTATCATTGTATAAGTTGTCCCGTGTGAACTGACATATTCAAATATAGAAAAATACTGTTATTGCTGTTGCCAATAGATGCATTGTTTTTATTTCAGTCGGTTGAATTTCAATATTTATATCTATTCTACTGGCAGAATCTTCTAAACCGTAACTATATATCAAAGGACAGCTTAATTATTAGCAATAACTTTATAAATTGCAAAATCATACCGTTTCTTTTACTCTAGTTATGTATTGATGGTCTTTTTTGTTGATTCAATCATTAACGTAATCGCCACTAATGACTTTTCTATAGACACACAAAAAAAAAAAACCGCTTCTTTTGTACTATTTCATAATTCTGGTATTTTTGTAAACATATTTTAATATCCTCTAGGTCGATACTCCCTCTAAGGGTATCGCAAGTACAGAAGTAAAAGCCCCTCTGCAGGCATGAAATATAATATATGTAGTCATTTTCTTTAAATTTAAAGTTAATAAAATATCTAGAACAAATAAATGGCTTATGTACAATGTTGTTGATGTTTATTTAAAATACACGTCTGGAACATTTCATTATAAATCTGTTTTTTATGATAAGTGTTTAACACACAAATAATATACTTACAGCCTGAGTTATATGTCACTTCTTCGCTTGGTTCGCTTTGCAATGAATTTTCTAGACAACTTGTTATTGTGAATCTGTATATTTTTTCAGGAAGAACGTTTGGAATTATGCATGATGATTCGCTTTTTCCTACGTATATGTATTCTTTTTCTCGCCAATTATTGTGTGTATACATGATTTTGAAATGTAAAACACTAATGCCTTCAATGTGTTTGTTTATCCAAGAAAGCCTCAACTGCGCATCCCTTGAGTGCAGTTCTAATCTTGGAGATACTGAATTAAAAAAAAAAACCAAACAAACATAAGCATAAAACAAGTCAAATGATGTTTTCTGCATTGAATAACATATTCTCCGAGCTATAGGACACGAAATGTACCCTGCTGAATGCTTTTGACGCAATGAAATGAAACAAAAAGGAAATAATTGTGCAAAGTTAAGATTCGATCAGGTGTCATATATCGATAAGGATACTAATTCTATAGTACGAATGATATTAAAAGTATAGTCATTCGGTTTTACCAATTATAACGCATAAAATCAAATTAACATGTCAAACTGTAGGGCATACTCAACTAAGCCTGGGGTCATATTTGATATTACTATATTATATATAAATGTGTGTGTGTGTGATTGTGTGTGTGTGTGTGTGTTTATTGAAATATCCAATGTAACTCAATACCAATCATTTGTTTTTCTCCCAGTGAGCTTATGTTATACCTTAGCAATTACGATTGCTTGTAGGAATATAAAATCTTGTTTTTTTCAGCAGTTCCGAAAAAATGAGTGCCTTAACATTTTTCCATTTATTTCAACGTGTTGGAGATTTCAAAGTATCGTCAAACAGGAAGTCAAAGTGTCTGATACCGCAAAGCACACATGCTATATTTCTTCATGGTCAAGCTGCATACTAAATATGAAGTAATTATGTTCAGTAGTACTAGAAACAAGAATTCATTACACATATCCAAAAACAAAAATGAATAAAGCATCGGGCAATATGAAGTAGGAGTTTGACAGATCACAAAGTGTTCGCACATTACAAGTCATTACCATCGGCCTACTGGTCAGGAATAAAGTTAATTTGTTCGGTAGGAACAAAAACAGTGGGAAAACAATATTTAAAGACGACAGGATGCACTTATGTACTGTAGGGCAAACAGTAGAATGCACAAGAAAAATGGAAAAATAAAAATCATTAGACACGATTAACAAATAAACACATAAATATATGAAAAGTTAAAACAACTATTGTCTACGGAAAAATCTTGAAAAGTAAACAGTAGTCTCGAAATCATAAAAATATTTAACAAGGGCTTGAAATAAATGAAACATATGGAGCGGAATTCAATTGTTCCAAATGACGTGTTCTGTATGTGAGTTTGAAATTTGTTGAAACCGAACCTTTAATCACAAGAGTGAGCAAACATTTGAATATGTTCAGTGTATGGAAATTTTATGTATTTCTGCTTGGAAAATATGAACGACTCTACTAAATACAAACGACTAGGAAAGGAAGCACACTTTATAAGGGTATTTCAACCGAAGTTCAACGGACATACATGAACATGCTGGATTGATTTCTCCTTGATACATTGAAATGTTCCAAAGTTTACCAATAGGAAAGTCGTCAAAAACAGAAATTATTGATAAGTCTTCCCTTCAAGAATGCAAAAAAGGCACGGAAGTACCAGTGATATTACCTGAACAAACTTTTAATGTTTGATGTGAAAATAAATATATATACGTAAATTTAGACACTTACATATCTTGATATAACATATTGATGGCATCTCATCCCGTACAAGAAGAAATATTGTTGTAACTGAAAGAAAAAAAGAACCATTACAAACGTCTTTAAATGATATTTGTCTATCATATTTTCATCAACTTACATCTAGCAATATATTAAATTTTCATTTCAAATATGGGATACAAGGCTGACAAAAATGTTACGCAGTTTTATTATTTACGACGATTTTCGATCATGCATTTGATTTTTAATCCAAATAAGAGAGAAATTACAAATGCCTGATTGATTGTCTGCATTTCATCAACATTCTGATCATCGACTCTACCGGTTACTTCTAAGTTCACTTAAAAGTATTAGAAATAAATTCTGTTCCATGGGTTAGTTTGTTTTCTCATGGTCATAATATTACTTGACTAGTATGGTTTATGGATATTCCGAGCTTCTCTTTTGACTTTCCAATACAAAAACATTGACTTTGCCATTTGTTTATTTTAGTTGCATCAATTTTGTATCCGTAACTCATTCTTAATTGTATGTACAATGTTAACCTTTTTAATCTGTTTTGCATCTCTTTTTGTGCTCTTTAGTATCATGTCAACGGTTTCATTACGTTATCACTGGCATACTGCAGTTCACATACACTTTAAGTTTCCCTTACATCATTAACAAAAGTATATTGTGTTTTTCTCATGATCTCCGTCATAAACATAGACATGGCGTTGTTAGTTTATTTTCGATTTATGAGTTGGAATGTCCCTCTGGTATCTTTCGCCCCTCTTTTGTTATGCCATTGTGCACTTTCTGTTTTGTTTTTTACTTGAAATATTTTTTAGGGTTTCCATAACCAGCGAATTACAATGGGTTTTGTGAGCTTTTGTCTCAAAACCTCTAGTTTGTAATCTATATTACTCAAGTAGCGCTTTACATCTAGCGTGTAAGAAAACAAACTTAATTACTGATTGAAAATGCTTACGTATGATAAATAAACACACGCTTATTACAATTGCTGTAACTTCCCTATTATATCTTGGACCTGAAATTTACAAATAAGCATTAGAAAATAAAGTACGATTCATTCTTGAACATATATACACACTGCATATTGTAAGACACTTTTCACACATCATCATTTGGTAAGAAGTTAGCATGTTATTTGCACACTATAGGACTTAAGCAATTAATACGTCAGACGCGTTTGTTCTACCATAAGTTTTATGTAAATTTACGGAAGACATACATCGTAAGGAACTAGAAACAAATGAACACATTTACCAAAAAAGCTTGGAGGAAAACAGTTTTGATATAAGTCTAAAGAGTGAAATTTCAGTAAAAATTCAGGATTTCTTTCTTCTTTTGGATTGTGAAACTAATGAGTTCTAACAGAAAGCATTTGGCGTAGGACAAAAGGTGGACGAAAAGCCAGACAAAAGGACAAACAGAACCGTCATTGAAGGACAGACGGAAAAGACGATGACTTTATGGTTTCGAGAATTTTTAAGGGAGCATACTACAAAAATTAATTATACATTTTAAAAGTCATCCCGCAGAGATGCATACTATTTAAGGGTTTCATGATGTCAGACAATGGACGATAAGTAATATAAAATGTTCCAACTGGCCTTGGGTTAAATGGGGTTAGATTAGGTAACACCAGTCACTATGTCATAACCGTATAAAAATAACGAAATGTGGTATGATTGAACAACTGTCCGCCAAAGTTAAAAAGAAGTGGATGTAAGCAAATATAGGCAACCGTTCGACATTCTACAATAAAAACAAACCCTACCTAATTGTCGTCTATAAAAGGCACTGACATGAAAATTATGAAACAAATCAATCGAGAAAATTAATGGCCTATTTTATAAAAAAAAAACAATTTACGGAAAACAAATACGACAGACATGAACCAACGACAACCACTGAACTGCAGGTTCCTGACTTGGGACAGTCACATAAACAAATCGCTGGTTAAACATGTTTATGAACGCACAACCCAAACACCTCTTTTCATTTGACAGAGGTGTAACAGCAAAACATAAGAACACACCATACAATCAGTGGAAAGGGCTTAACTCATCAGATCGATACAAAGAAAAACACTAAACAAAAATACTGAAAGGACTTGGCAGGGTATATATCCAGCCCTTATCCCTAACAACAAAAAAGACACTTAGAAAAGATAAGATTAATCGTTTTAATGACATTAAGTTCAAAGTCAATAAAAATTAATATATGTATCTAAGACTAAAACATCAAGCAGTACACATGCAGCATCCAATAGATTTAGTGTAAAGACGTCATTGACAGTAAGAGAAACAAACATGCTTCGTGTTAATAGATTATAGCACCATGAAGGTACTTATGTGTATTATTTAGTAAGGTTTTAACTTACTGATTACAAAGTCAATATATATATATGTATATATATATTAATAATTAAGATCCATTTTATAACATCTGGTGATCCGTTTATTTGGCTACGCCATGGCAGTCAGCAGGATTTAAGAAAATCCGTTGTTCGACCTGCTAGTAAAATGCGTTTTGTTATAATATTCTTTTTCTCTTTTTTGGTCTTTTGGAAAATGTTGTTTGTACTGTATTTAGACCCCTCTACCATGAAATTTGTTTTGCATGCACACGTATAAAAATTGAGGTTTTTATCCAACGCAATCATAGGTTTGAACGTTGTTTCAATTTATACTTGTTTATATATATATATATATAGCAACAGTAAATAAATACGGTGTACAGAATGTATCTAATAAAATTTAAAATTCGCACACTACATTTCAGATCAAATAATAACAGTTCGTTAAAATAATGGCACTTCTGGAAATCTTCCGGCGACGATTTAAAAATGTCCATGACGACACTACCGTTTACCATTATTGTAACGTAATGAACGTTACCAACGATAATGTCATCAAGGACATTGTAAAATCGTCGCCTGAAGATTGTCAGAAGGCATGAAAGCGCTAGTGACATTATTTTAACGAACTGTTATTATTTGATGTGAAATGTAGTCTGCGAATTTTAAATTCTAACATATATATTGTTGCTATTTTAGACACTATATACTTGTATATATATACAAATAAAACAATATTAAAAGATTTAATTACATTGTTGAATCGGCAACCTTTTAGAAAAAGTTTATTTAAAGAATTGATAATATAAAAAAAAAGAGATGTGGTATCATTGCCAATAAGACAACTACCCACCAAAGTTCAAATGAAGTGGATGTAATCAATTATAGGCAACTGAACGGCATTCAACAATGAGTAAAACCTATAACCTGTGGTCGGCTATAAAAAGCCCCGACATGTAAGATATGAAACAATAAGTTTAATCGGATCGTATCTAAATTTCCGGGCTCGTTAAAGGAGTAGGTTCGATAAGGCCCTAAAATGGCCCCTAATTCTAGCTTAAATTTGAAATTTAGATTTATTGACCAATGTCACAAGGAATCATAGGTAATATGATGACTAGATTGAAAAAAAGTCTTTTTGTTGAATATTTAAGTTTTTGCGTTCTATTCATGACGTCACAAATAGCACTCATTTTGATTTTCCGTGAAAATTCGATGACAACAGGTTAATTTACGTTGATTTTTTGGATAGGAAACATATAACGCAAGCGTCGACAGCAAAGATATTTAAACCTAATGTTTGTTATGACATTTTACATATCTGACTTGAATATTTTGTTTGTCGACGCCTGCGCTCTATGTTTCCTAGGTCTTAATTTGGTTGAAATCCGGATGATTTTGTCCAATTTCGCAAAAATCTCTATTTTTAACCTATTTTGGATGTCAAAATCAATGCTTAAAAATAAAACTCTGGCAAAAATAGTTCAATATTACTTTCTCACATGTCTTTTCATCAACTTAAAACATATTTTATCCTGAAACATTGAGCTTAATATTCGGGGCCAAATTTGGCCCCTACCGAACTTACTCCTTTAGGATGTGCTATACCATTTAAAATAAGTTATTTTTGCTGTTACAGCCAATCTTGCAAATCGAATCTTTGTATCTATGGCATAATTTGGTAAAGGTTTTAGGTAATTTGTGGTAAAGAAATCTTTGACTAAATAATCAATAGTAATACATAGATTACGCTGATTGAAACCTAAAATGTAACTTCAAACACGAGAATAGTGGACGAGTTGGTTATAAAAACCGTAAGACGGTGTCAAAAGAACATCACTGTCCAAAAAATGAAAATTAACAATAGGGAAAGAAAAAGTATCCTTTTTGTCGTTAATTTTGGCGCAGATTTTCTGGTGTAATACTGAAATATCTAAATCTAGGATAGGACTGTAAGTATTTGATTTCTTCAAAGTAAATTCCTTTGGGTAAATGTCAGCAGTATATTTAGCAAATTCTTGATTATTTAATGAAAAATTAAACATATCACCAAGATAACGGTACGTGTTCTTGAATTGATCGATTCAATTGAATTACAACGGTTCTTTACTGAGTTTTGCCATATAGGTTATAATAAATAAATTTGCAGTCTGATTTATCAAGCAACATTTAATTAAATAGAAAAACGTTTACCTTTGATCTGATTATCCTTATATGCTCCTCTATCAGTAGTATTATTAACATTTGGCCTGAAAAAAAATAGTTGTTCATTATTGTGCTACAAACTTTAAATAGAATCCGTTATTTTTACCGGAACTTGATCGGTGAGTTAAATTCTTCTCCATTTCCAAACTAAAAATAACTCAGAGTATTTTCAAGCTTTCTAAACATGCTAAATGACGTGTATAATATATTGATAAAGTGTATATATTTTGCCTCCATCTATGTTTGTAATCGGCTGAAACAAGTAAAATAGACAACACAGAAATAATAATTAAGGAATGAATCAAACAAACATGAAATGCAATGATTCATATTAAGTGTTCAATCAGCACCAAACCAGTTGATGGTAGTTAATTTTTTTGTGTTGCAGGATACCAGTATAAAACTATATATACCTTTCTTGATAATCCATGTCTGGACAACGTGGAACGTAGCTGTTGTTGTTCATGTGGATGCATAGATAATCTTCAAAAGTATGAAACAAGTGTAACTATAATAATTCAAATTAGAAACCATTTTCCTTTATCTGATGCGCAGTTAAACAATCAATCTATCTTTAGTGATGCTCGTGGCCCAATTATTTGAAAGTTAAAACCAAAATCAAACGTCGAAGAGTTGATAAAATCGGGGAAAACACAAGCTACATGGAATAAAGCCAACCTGTACACACCTAGTATTTACTATAACTCCTTTATAGGATATTTACAAACAATTTGTATCATTATGTAATTTGTTATCAACTATTCATTGCAAATATATTGTAGAAAACGCATCGTATTTCAGTAGAAAGAATAGATGGAGAAATTTAAAGAGTTGGCAAGAGGGGCACTTAACCGTCTCATACACATCCCAAGCGGATAGTTGAACAATTTTTGAAATAGATGGTCTACCAGAAACAATCTCTTTATAATTGTGTTTAAACCTAGTTACAGTTTTGAACAGCGGTATACTACTGTTGCCTTTATTTATCGTATTTATAGTGTCAACATTCCTTCTGTACATTGTGTTACTGATGAAAATCTGCGAACAAATTTGAACAAAAAAATGCATCCCTGCAATCAACAGGCGTTAGTAAGTGAACTCCCCTTTTTCAATGTCAAACATATATACTGTTTCAAATGCTAACATATGCTGTATTAATAAAAAAAACTTAAAGTAAAGCTAAAATAAGCTGAAATAGTGAAGACATTTAATAGAAAATACTGATAACACTGAAATATTAAGTTCTCTTGTTGCCTGTTCCGTAACCTATCTATAGAAATTTTCGAAAACTATTCGATACCGACGCTTACACCTACGCCTATGCCTACAGGTAACCTTTTTGAGAAGGGTTCATCTCAATATGTACAACGACCACAGGCATTTATATTATATTTTTTCTAATCTACATTGTTAACAATATATAAAACTTTTATTTTTGATGATTTTCTACTTTATTAGGTCTGTTTAGTAGCTGAGAATTGACCGATCTTATTTTGTACTTTGTAAAAAAAATTAGTAAACCTTTAATCAGAAACGGGAACGTGTAAAGTCCTTTATTGCATGAAATTAAACGTATAGATATAAAAATGAAAGTATGTGTTATCTTGCTGTAATCAGGGATGTACGGAATTTTAAACCGGTGTTGAAAATACATTGTAAAATTTTGTACATCCCCGATTACACCAAGAAAACGAATATATTTCTGATAAAACTTTCCTTTACCATAATTTATACCTGGTTTTAAAATTGAAATGTTTCAGGAAGAACTTTCACTTTACAATTCAACACTGGGTTTGCCGCGCACTTTGTCAAATATAACTTTGATATACATGTTTAGTATGTAAAGGTTGGGGAAGTGGATAAAAATTTTATTTTTGTGTTTACTTTTGAGACATTGTATTTTGATTTTAGAAATTTCGGCAAAAAAAGATTCTTTTTTGGTTTGTTTGTTTGGTTTTTTTGGGGGGAGCGGGGGGCATTATTTATTTTTTGTTGCTATTGTAATTTTATAATTGTTTTATTACTTTTGCACTTCGTTTTTGTTGAGCCTTCGACTTTTGTCGAAAAAGCGAGACATAGCGATCCTACATTCCGTCGTCGACGTCGTCGTTGTTGTCGTCGTCGTCGTTGTCGTTGTCGGTAGCGCCCACAAATGTTCACTCTGTGGTTAAAGTTTTTGAAATTTTAATAACTTTCTTAAACTAACCTGGATTTCTACCAAACTTGGACAGAAGCTTGTTTATGATCATAAGATAGTATCCAGTAGTAAATTAAAAAAAAAAATCTGGTTTTTCCGTATTTTACTTATAAGTGGACTTAGTTTTTCTGCCAGGAAACATTGCATTCACTCTGTGGTTAAAGTTTTTGAAATTTTAATAACTTTCGTTAACTATCCTGGATTTCTACCAAACTTGGACAGAAGCTTGTTTATGATCATAAGATAGTATTCAGTTGTAAATTTAGTAAAAAGCATTATTTTTTTCCCGTATTTTACTTATAAATGGACTTAGTTTTTCTGCCAGGAAACATTGCATTCACTCTGTGGTTAAAGTTTTTAAAGATTTTATAACTTAAACTATCCTGGATTTGTACCAAACTTGGACAAAAGCTTGTTTATGGTCAAAAGCTAGTATCTAGAAGGAAATTGTGTTAAAATTTTGTACCTGTTTTTTCGTATTTTACTTATAAATGGACTCAGTTTTTCTTCCAGTTAACATTACATACAGCCTGCAGTTAAAGTTTTTAAAACATTTATTAGATTCATAAACTATCCTGGATTTTTACCAAACTTGGACAGAAGCTTCTTACGATCAAAATATAGTATCGAGAGGAATATTTTTATTAATTTTTTTCCTCATTTTTGTTGAGCCTGCGATTAACAGCAAAAGTAGGCGAGACACCGGGTTCCGCGGAACCTTTACGAATTTTTATTCTTTTGGGCTATACTCATTTTTATTTTATACTCCAATCTACGAAACTTATATTACAAATCATAAGACCTGTCGACTTACATTGATTTAATATACGCTAAGCATTGATTCATAAGAAATAAGATATTTTATTTATATTCCGAAGTTTTTCTAGCAATTCAATTCGTTAATTATATAATCTACCGCAACAATGTATTCTATTTGAATGGTTGCAAACGGAGACATAAAAAAAAAATGCAGATGGAATGTCACAAATCCTTTACTTAAAATACTCCAAAACTAATGAGATCATTCGGAGTTTCTAGCTCCGATTCCGAATAAAAAAATATTTTTTTTATGTCCGCATCCAAGTTTGAACAGGTCCTTAATTCAATATGTTTCGAAATTTTTATACGGTCCCTATATTTTTCTAGTCAGTGTAGGTATCGGTGTCGGTGTAGGTGTCAGTGTAAACGACTTTTCGAAAATGTCTACTTGGTTGCCAGTCGATTATATGTCTAATCATTTTATGTGAATATACACCCGATCTATCTAAATTTAAATACCTGGTGTTATTGCGTAATTGACTGGACATCTTTGTAAAAAACATGAACAATCTTCAGTAGATGGTGTACAGTGACAACTGTTTACTGTCGTTGACACAAAGGCGTATCCTTTAGTAAAATCACAGCGGCAAGTTTTATCAACCTTTGTAGATCCTTCATTAAACCTAACCTGCCCAGGTTCAGAACACATCGATCGACGATAAACACATTTATCATTGAAATTTTGAAAACCAAATGGTTGATATCTGTTGGAATTTTCACATTTAACACTTTTCGGTCTGTGATTTATAATATATTTCTGACCTACAACATACACAAGTACATATAAAAAAGCAATAAACAGAGTGTAAATCCAAAATCCACAAACATATTCAGTTTATTGAATCAAATAAAAAAAAAAACATTTTCATTTGAGAACAGAAAGATGATCCGAATAGAACTATTCCATACAATGTATATATCGAGGAATCATGATGAAGTCAAAACAACACGTTATAAATATTATTCGTTCGAAGCGCTTTTTGTTTGTATTTACTTTCATCAGAAACGCTCAAAGCCGATTTTTTTTAATCCCAGAGATGATTAAGAATCGAACAGTTGTCGTGCTTTATGACCGAAAAAGACCTACAGATAAAAGCGAAATCTATCTAAGGTCAACATTATTTTCTTAATAATTTTAAATTGATAAACGGACAATTTCGATATAAATCAGTCATGTTTGTTCAACTAACAAACGCACAGACTTCAATGAAATATGAAAATAAAACAGTAAAAGAATAAGCAATAGACAAACCTGGATCTAAAATATCGGCCTGGAAGTTACATGTTTCCTCATAAACTTTCTCAATCTCATCATATAAGCAGGCGTAATTTTCCTCTTTAAGGCCTTGTTTTTGACAAAACCATTTTGCTCTTAGTCGCCTTTCAACAATTGACGGGCATTGAAAGTCTCCATACAACAAACACACAGGAAAGCAGAAGGCCAACTAAATAAATTAAAAAAATCCTTTTCTTCAATTTTTTCTGCATTTTCAATTTAATTACACATATGATGAATTTACATTATTCTATGAAATCTTAACGATGGAATTCATAGTTTTATGGAACCTCACACACATTTGACAAAGAAATTACAGTACATAAATTAATAACATATTGAGAGTATAAGTAAAACATGAAAAGGTTATATAGATTTCGAAGGGTTATATGAACATACATACCAGTAACGACATCGCATAGATCTTCATCTTTCAAAGTTTTTCTGAAATCTGTAAAATAAAAGATGATCATCATTATCATTCATCGTCAGAAGATAACTTATCTCCTTGTTTCATTATTGCAATTACCATAATTGTTACATTAAATTCGTCCTTTGTTTTGCCTCTTCTTTGCTTATTTCTATAATTATCATGATTATTTTATTATTTGTATTATCATTGCTTATATAATTATTATCATTATTACAAACATTGTATTTTGCCAATGAGTTTGTCCTCTCAATTTGTCATTGATTCAGAGAGTCATAAACTAATGCAACATTAGACTGTGTGCAAATATGCAATCAACATTATGTCTTCCACAATTGCCACAATTCCCGTGGAAGCAAAACCAATATGAAAAAAAAAATGAAAATAGTCTTTTTCCTTCATTAACTTAAGTATGCCTTATAATAATTGGAACACAATGAAGCTTTATAAATAAAAAAATCAAGTTGCAATGGTAACTACAAAAAAAGTGTAAAAAAATGATTCAAACCTTACAAAAATTAAACTCTACAATTATATATGAAAACTCCATAAGATGATATTTTTTCGTCTGTCTTCTGTATTATATCTACATTAAACCAATGTACTTTTAAAACTACGCACTTACAGGGCAAAAAACTCATTAAATTATCCGTGCCGATTCTTCTACAACAGATTCATCGCCGCGATATAGCCTTTCTGTGCTAATGCGGCGTAAAGCAAACAACAATCAATCAATCTACAACAGATTCGCATTTCGACAATTATAGTCACTTCAGTCATGCTCGAGGCCAACATATTTGAAAATGTTGAGCCTTATACAAACGTTGAAGAGCTTATGTTAGGTGATCATGTCATGGTGGGCAGACATTATTTTGTGTCTGTATGCAACAATTTGAAGTTATGAATAACCTTAAAAGTAGAGTACATACCTTTTATTCATATTTTGGAATGAGGTTCAAGTAAAGGTTGTATTATTGATGATAACAGGTAAAAATAAACGAATAAACTATAATAGGTGAAACTGTTTTAATCATCTTGAACAAATACTTACATGTCGTCTATTGAAGCAGTCATGTTGAAAGACACAAGAAACACATTATACAATGTAGTACAAAACAAATCGTAATATTGAAATTAAGGGGTTACCCTGTTGTATGTGTGTTAAATAATTGATAATGTGAGGAAGACGTGCATGAAAGATGAAGGAACACATGTAGTGTGTAGCAGAAAGTTTTTGCAATGGCAGTGTATATTATACTTCTATGACGTTTGTGATCCTAACGTATTGATAGGGTTCTATTCTGTATCTAATACACATCTAAAGAGACCGTAGCTAGCCTGTTGTAGCGATTACATTTTGCTTTTACATTATGTTTAGTTTTGTTATGTCAATGTTCAAGTCAATGGTAATCTTACTAGTAATTGCAGAGTAAAACAGTGTCTGTATGCCTATCAATTAAATAAATATCCACAAAAGATAAACAAACGGAGATGTTATAAACTATCGATCACCATAAGGCCATTAACAATGAACAAACCCATACCGCTTAGCAAAGTACACTAGGCCTCACATGACAACATGTTTAACAGTTCTAACGAAAATACCAATGACCTGATTCATATACAAAACAGTAAATGAATAAATAATAAGATACCCATCAATAAACGACCACCACAAGCTTCTGATCTGGGACAGTCAGAATGTTGCTGGGTCTTAACATGTTTGCACGGCCCCCAACTTCCCTTTACTTGGGACATTTTTTATACTTTATTAAATTCATTAAATCAACTCCAGGCAATAGAAACATAAAGCATAATTTTTAACATTTTTTATTTAATTCATGGTATTTATTTTATACTAGAAAAAGTTGCCCTTCAAGTCTATAAATTAGATTCCTACATACAAGTATATATCTAAGTGCTATACTTAAGATCTAATGCTTACAATATTTTATCCAATTTAACATAATTTTGAAGGGAAAAAACATCATTCATGTCATTCAAATGCTTCCCGACGTTAGTATATTGATGATGTGGTATGTTGGAATGTTCGGTACTTTTTTTCAATTCATGCTTTTCTTTATATATCAGGTATTGTGCACTAGAAAGGTTTTATCAAGACAGTTAGGTTAAATATTTATTACTCTAATTCTTTTGCAAGTTAACGAATGACAAATGGCCTTATCATACCTTTACCGTTACAGTTTATCGATACTCTACCGGATTTAGAGTTGGTCATAAGGTGTAAACACTATTTGATTGACGTATATTTTGGTTTCAAGCATTGTTTGATTTATTGCAAAAAAAAAAATAGGTTTGTTACGACAAATCTATAATGAAGCTAACGGATATTCTTACACGTCAAAACATACCTCACTCGCTTCAATGCATATCAAAAGAAAAAATATTATTCTATTCACAATATCTTGTGAAGTGTACCGAATGTGATTATAGTTATTAAACACGACATGTTTTAATCTTTGTATCATATACAACCCATATCAGCCCGACCACTTGACGTCTCATAGGGCTGATATTGGTTATCAACCTGGGTATGAAGTTATGGCTAGTGTACTGCCGCTCGTTACACATTTGCAAAAAATTACATAACAATGCTAAGAGTATGATAAATATGTTTTATTCCAAGCAATGTAAAAATCAACCGACCATTAAAATTTTCGATACTTTAAATGCAAACATGTAGCAATTTGTTAAAATTGACGATGGAAAAAGTGTATATATAAAACTTGTAAAAATCAGTATTCCAAATTCAATGTATTTTCTAAATTTTTCAAATAACTGTCTTTGGAAAAGTAACAGTTTTGAACACACACTAACAGTAATTCCAGTTGTTTATTTTGATGGTGACAATAGCTGAAAATGCCTGAGGCCAAAACATTGTGCATGTGCTTCCGCTATATTAAGTTATCTTATACTTTATATACTAGTCAACAAAAGAAAAGATACAAGGCAATGTATTTTCCAAACATAATGATATTGGAAAAACTGTACCAAGGTAAATACTTTCCCAATTGGTCTAATATTTAAAGTGTTATATTTTTATCATAACCATGGATTTAAAGCAAATACGCGATTTTATCTTTTGGAATTCTTGTTATCTCATAAATCGTATGTTCACCCCAAAATTCAAAAATCGATATTAGAACTTAAAACTTTAAACATATACATGGTCTGCTTAAAATTTTGAATGCCTTTGCAGATATTTGAATACTTAATTCTCATCTTCGAAATTAAGTGCGACTTTTGTCATGATTTTCCGCAAAATAAAGTTGACCCCTGTGTTCAATAACACGGTATTTAACTTTCCAATTTGGTCAGATTCTTTTAATCATATGCATTTGCTTTGCAAATGAATGTTTTTCATTTGATAGCTTTACAGTTTTTCCTATTTATTATATTTTATGATAAATTGGAGTTCAAACTTGTGTATCGTTTCTTTTGTTGACTAGTATATAATGTATAGTTGGTATTTTAACCTTGCTCAGAATCATTTTTTTTATTCAGTAAAAACTATATTTTACGTAGGCCAACCTTAAACATGTTAAATTAAAGTACAATTATTATCTCCTTGTTTAAACTGGTATTTCGAAACACATTTTGTACACAACACAAAATTCGGAAGGAAAAGTCAATATAGTTTCGTGCGAATGTAATATATTAAGACGCTCAATAGAATTACATCTTAGATTTTGGATATGCCAATATATTTTGGCCTCGAGCATCACTGAACAGACATTATTTGTCTAAATGCGCATCTCTGTCATAGAAATATTAACATTTTGAAACTTCAAATTGCTTTTGTGAGTTATTTTTTTTTCTAAATGAAATATTAAATGCTTGTCAAAATCGACATAGATTGTTTCGAAAATTGGCTTTCTGTACGATTGAACGATGTATTTATGTTTATTGACGATACGACTTAAATGTACATTCAACAACATTCCAACAAGAAATTTAAGCCTCTCGAGAAGTTTTACATAGGGGAAACTATAATGTCATGTAATAAGATGCTTTTCTAGCCATATTACATG